TTCTCTTTCACCGTAAATTACATACGATGCTATTTCTTTTTCATCAGATCTATCATTAAAAGGAGGTACACCACTTGATAACTCCCAAAAAAGTACGCCGAGACTATAGGTGCAAGAAGGTTTATCTCGTTTATATGTATATGGGTTTTGGAGTTATCGTGGATCAGAAAAAATACCATTTGTAGATCTTGATCTATTTTCTAACGATTTAGCCAAAATCTGTAATCATTAATCCATCATCATGCACTAATATATTCCTATCATGCTAAACTATTGCTAATATTGATATAATAAAAGCGAAAAATAAAGCAAGCAGAAAAAGCATCTTACAAGATCACGACGAACAATATTTGCATCGTGTAAATAATTAATCCCACTAGAAATTTCTTTTGCCATTTTAATTTTAGTTTTCCACCTTAGTTCAGAGAATTGATTGCGTAAATAGTAACGAAGGTCACCTTTATTGGCGAATTGAAGAACCATATAGTATGTTTCGGCCTTCGAATCTAATTTAAATGAAATGATTAGTTAATCGATAGAGATTATTCTTAAATTGTATAAAATTAATATATCTTGAGTGATTCCAAAGAATTGTATTATATTATCATGATGTGTAACTCTAGTAATATATTTAATCTTACAGTATTTTATAGTTGCAATAAACCCAGAAAAGTAAAGATAAAAAAGCATAAACAAAGAATTTAAATTTATAATATTAATACTTCATTAATAAATTCATTCAAATGAATATCTTTACATCGCAATATAAATTCTTTAAAGTTATAGTTTTTTTCTGTAACACATGAATCAGTAATAATAAATATACCTTTTCAAATAAAGCTCTGAAGAGCAACCGTCAATCCCTGATCTTTCACTTGGCTTCATAAACTATTCCAAATCCGCTTTCATCAATCTTACGATGCTCGTTAAATTCTTTATAGTCAAAAGTTTTAATCTCTTCCCAATTATTTCTTCAGTTAATTCGATTGTTGTTATCAGAATGTTCTTCGAAATAACATCAGTTTCTGCAGAAGAATCAGAGTCTGTTAAAGTATTAGAATCTGCAAGAATATTTTTATTACCCCTATTAATGCGATTTATAATAACTCTACAGTAGTTTCTGTTGACAGTTTATTGAGTTCAACTAAAACTTGGTCTAAAGGTGGACGCTGGGTTAGGGTGTTCAATAAACTAATTAATCAAACATAGTTAGGGTCATTAAGTTCGGATTTTTTAAAGGGTTATTTCACGTATAAATTTATATATGAATTTGTACTAATTTAGGTACATTTTTCT